TATATATATATTTTTTTTTTTCTCCCTTGTAATATGCGTGTGCGTATGCTGTATGAACAATAACGTGTGTGTACAAATGTTAATAGAGTTGGTTTTTGTCTTACAGAAACCGTTACAACCAGATATGGGCCATAACTCGCTGGCGAACTTCCAGATTGAGAAGAAGATTGGACGTGGCCAGTTCAGTGAGGTGTACCGCGCGAGGTATCTGTTAGACAACACGTCAGTGGCCCTGAAGAAAGTCCAGGTAAGACTCAGTAATATGTATCATTGATAGCCAATATATTCAGCCAGAGTGAAATGTTGAACTATTCTAGTCTCTAACATCAATTTCATCTATATTAATGCTTTTTTGTTTTCCTCATGAATGGGCCACCCCAGACGTGTTATCAGTCTGTAAGAAGGTCTACACAAACAGCCAAATATATTCACATTAATGCACAATTTAACACTGGGAATTCCCCTCATTCTACTGTAGTAGAAAGCTATGAAGCCACACACTGGTATTGTTACATACATACACAAACTTGACAAAGTAAAAAGGCAACTGGAAAAGTACACTGGAAAATGCAAGAAAAGAGTTAATAGACCCTTTTTGTTACTTTGTCTTTTAAATTAAACAATTGGTGAATACACAGTCTAACAGTGATGAACCGTTGCCAGTTAAACATGCATGTGAATTATTTATATATTTTTTATGTACATTTTTTGTGGTGATGCAGTATGACTGTGTTGGCTTATTTACCCATATAATATGACTCAGTTCTCTTGGTGAATGTGCACACATGCAGTATTTACTGACTTACACACATACACACACCACCAGGAGGATATGGTGCTCTGTTTGACACTTACCTCTCTTCTCACACACACACACACACACACACAACACACCACACACACACACAGACACACCCACACTCACACACCTTACACAAGGATGTGTGTGTGTTACTTAGATGTGAAACACCTGTAGTCACTCCAACGCCACCCTCTAGATAACAGCAACCATGTTTTCTGTTTAGTGTTTTTTTTTCCTATTTTCTCTCCATCTCTCCATCTTACCACTCTTGAATATGTCATAACACCCCTCTGTCCTCTCTCTCTCTCTCTCTTTCTCTCTCTCCCCCCTTTTGATCTCTTGATAGATATTCGACTTGATGGATGCCAAAGCTCGGCAAGATTGCATCAAAGAGATAGATCTCCTTAAGGTAAAGAACCAGAGAAGAGGGAGACGGCGTCATGTGCTGTGCTGTGTTCTCTTAAGGTGCCTCAGCTGAGACCTTCCACCACAGGAAAACAATTGATCTGCACCAGACGGCTTGGATTTGTGTGTTTGTGTGTGGGCACACGCACGCGTGTGTGTGCGCTTCCTTGCATGGTTATGAATGCAGAGGGGTGTTTGAGTATTTGTGCACACAAGTGAGAATATGAATGAGTATGTGTGTGTGTGACTGTACAGTACATGTGTATTACTGTCTCCTTATGTCTCTGAGCTTGTGTGTGTGTGCGCACAGGGGTGCACCAGTGTTACATCCCTCCAGGCTCACATTGACTCTTTTTCTTTTTTTTTATGCCAAAACTATTGTTGTTTTTTTTATCTTTTTGTAATGTTTAGAGCCGGGCAACAGTGCATCAGCAGGAAAATTTAACAATCTCCCTCATGTGTCTCTTGATGTTTTACCTCCTCCCTTTCCTCATTCTTGCTTTACCTTTTTTCCCCCAATGAAGTGGTTTCAAACTATCATAAACATGTGTCAGCTGGGTTGCTCTCAAATACTAATGAACAAACTAATGACAGCTTCAATATCCCCTCCCTGTCTGCAAGATCCTAGATGCATGTCAAAGTTGTGTGTGGTTGTAGTTTGATTGTGTGTATCAAGTGCGCATTCATGCACTCCTGGTAGTGTTTCCCTTCATATATGAAGTCTTTCTGCGCATGTGTGTGTGTACTGCAGGCAGTTTGTGCACGTAAGTACACTCACACATACACATTAGGGAAAGAAAACAAAACCAATTAGTTAGTTTCAAACACATCAGCGAAGCTCCTGGGGCTCTTTGGGCCAATCAAAGACAACGATACTCAGATGTAGGCAAGACCCTGTAGAGAGCTGTAATCTGAGTAGTACATCATTGACTTGACAGCATGAGATTGCAGGGTTCGCCTGGATATGTATCTCTTACTTCCTAAGGGTGGAGGTCAGGGTTGGGTTAAATATCACAACCTGCCAGGTGACTACGGCTCTCATGTCCTTTATGCATCTCCCACATTTCCTTCATTTCTCTCTTATTATATGGATCCTTCCCTCTATACCATTTTCTCTGTGTCCTTTCCCTCCTGCTTGTTCCTATCTCTTCCTTTCATACCTTATTCACCCAGTTGCTATGTCGTTCCATCCATCCCTCCTCCTTTCCCGCTCCTGGTATGTCAGAGCTTTTTGTTCCTTTCTTTTCATCTTGTAAGCTGATTGCTAGTGAACATGGAAGTTATGCCCAGCCCTGCGCTGCCCAGCCAGCCTGATAATAAAGGGCTGAGTGTGAGAGAGAGACAGTCCTTCTGCCTTATCCCCCACTAGACAGGCCAACAGGAGACACAGCCAAATCAGAATAATGAGAAGCACACTGGCATGGACCGACTGGAATGACACACATACTGGCTCGTGATCACACACACACACACA